AGCGGCAAAGGCTGCTGCTCAATTGGCAGCCTCAGGTTAGCGTAACTATTAACTCTTCTCAAATTTTTTTCTGGCCAGTTATCAACGACATTATTCCTCTTTGAGATCATATATCAAATGTTTGTATTTTCTAATTCTTCCAGGTGGGTTTATTTGACTTCCTGGCTTATCGTCTGTAGGTAATAGGATTGTCCAGCCACTTTGCTCCAATGTACGGCAGCTCACTGGTGGCGCTGTTCTCAGTGAAGAGCAAGTTAAGCAAATCCAATACCAGAAAGAGGTGGTTTTTTCTTATTGGTATTTTTGAAGCCTGATTCGACATTTTGATCGTTTTATTTTTCGTTTGCAGCTTCAAGCAATGCATGAGTTCATATTGGCCCAGCAACGTTTAAAGATGCAGGAGCAACAGTTGATGGAATCCATTGAAGGAGTAAATTACTCAAAAAAGCCAAGGAAAACCGTCGATGGCCTAGAGGTTAAATACGAATATGATTCCGATGAGGATTGTGAGGGTGGAACATGGGAACACAAACTAAGAGCTGCAGAAATGGAAGCAACTCGGGGTATTCATTCGTTTATCATTCACCTCTACCACTTCTACTTGAACATCTACATGAGGCCTTCTTGAATCCCTAGACTGGGCCGAAAAGTTGACCGAGATGGGACAAGGAAAACATCACATAGGTGACTTCTTGCCTCCCGATGAATTAGAACGTTTCATGGAGACTTACCGTGTAAGCTGCTGCTTGAGTGGATTACTTCTTTTATTCATTTCTGACAAATCAATTTCGTATTTAGGCTCTAAAGGAGGGTCGTGAACCCGACTACAGCGAGTATAAGCAGTTCAAACTTACTTGTGAGAACGTTGGATTCCAAATGCTTGAGAAAATGGGCTGGAGAGAGGGTGAGGGCCTCGGTGTCTCCGGCCAGGGCATTGTAAATCCGGTTAGCAAGTATGTCGAATTCTGTCTGAATAAAAGTAGTGGGTTTCGGTGTTTGGTTCTGTCGACTGATCAGTCATTCACCAAGTTCTTTAGTGATAATAATGCCATCAGGGCGCAAAGTTTCCGCTTCTCTCTCTGCTCTTCCCACTCCCAGGTGTTCATCTTTGTTGAACCATTTTTTCTAGGGGTAACGTTCATGTGGAAGGCGTAGGTCTTGGAGTGGAGAGATCATCCAACCTCACTGTTGAAGATGATGAATTTGAAGCTTATCGAAAGCGAATGATGCTAGCCTATCGGTTTCGTCCTAATCCACTGGTATATTCCTCCTATTTGGTGTGTCTTTCCCAGCGGCTTACAAAATCTCTTTCACCCAATCTTTTTATGCTTTAGAATAATCCGCGCCGAGATTACTACTAGCTTGACGATGTTGATTGTATACGCTATCCATGAACTTTTAATATATGTATCCCTAGCTCCCATCCCTTAAAGAACAATCTCACTTGTGCATATATTTTGTTTCTCCTAATAAAGAACCCTTCCCAATTTACTTTCATTCTTTTGGTGTTCTTGCCCAATGGACCCCTTTTTCTACCTTGCCCAAATTCTAACCGACGCATTGTTTCCTCCTCGTCCTCTCATTGATAACGGTTAAATTTACCATACTTCCAATTACTGGTTGTTCTATTTGATGCTTTAGAAGGTATGTCAAGCCCTCAAAGTGCCGAGACGGAGTCAGACATCAATGTGCAGTATTGTTGTCAGAAGTGTAAGAAACCTCTGGATTTGACCCCGGACTTTGGCACTTTTCGATCCTCAGATCTATCGAGCATCATGGGTGTGTTTTCTGCTTTTATACGTCCTCGAAGCGTGCTTAAAAGGCTGTAGAGTGTTTTCTTAAAAAAGCTATAGCATCTTTTCTCATATTT